TTCTTACTGCTGTTTCTTCTGTAGATAAAAAAAACTCTTGAGAATTCTAGAATTCTTAGCTACTTTATGACAGAGTTCCACTGCACAGACTGGAGAGTTCTTGACTCCCAGTAGAATTTAGTCTAGATTTAGAGGTCCAAAGAACTTGACTTGAGTGGGCGAGTGAATGGGCGAGTGAGTGAGTGTGAGAGTAACTGAGTCAGTGAGTCATTGAATGAGAGTGAACGAGTCAGCAAGTCAGTGAGTCAACGAGTGAGTGAGTCAGCGAGTGAATGGGAGTCAGTCAGCGAGTCAGTGAGAGAGACTGAGTCAGTGAGTGAGTCATTGAATGAGAGTGAAGTGGGAGTCACTCAGTCACGCTCACTGACTCACTGAGCGAGTCAGTGAGTGAGAGTGAGTCGGCGAGTTAGTGAAAGTGACTTAGTGTGAATCAGCAAATGAGTGATTCGGGGATTGAGTGAGTGGGTGAGTGAGTGGGTGAGTGAGTGGGTGAGTGAGTGGGTGAGTCAGTGGGTGAGTGAGAATGAGAGAGTGAGAATGAGAGAGAGTGAGAAAGCAAATCAGTGAGTGAGAGTCATTCAGTGAGTGATTCAGTGGATGAGTCATTGAGTGAGTCTGTGAGTGATTCGGTGAGTGAGTCAGTGAGTGAGAGTGATTCAGTGAGTGATTCAGTGGATGAGACTGTGAGTGAGTCAGTCAGTGAGTCAGTGAGTCAGAGTGATTCAGTGAGTGAGTCAGTGAGTGAGTCAATGAGTCAGTCAGTGAGTCAGTTAGTGAGAGTGAGTCAGTGAGTGAGTCAGAGTGATTCAGTGAGTGATTCAGTGAGTGATTCAGTGAGTGAGTCAGTGAGTGAGTCAGTGAGTGATTCAGTGAGTGAGTCAGTGAGTGAGTCAGTGGAAATACTGAGCATGTTGATGCATTTATTTTACAAACGAAGACAGAAGTACAGAATATAGTGAATGAGCCATGAAGCTACTGCTAACCACTGTCCTCCTCTGGACTGTAGAGGACTAAACTAGTGGGTTTAACGCTGTGGGGGGCGATTTTTACACTGTTTATTATAGTTTTTTAGTTTTTTATTAACACACTAAGATATTTTCCAGTATAGATCAGGAACGTCTCTGAATGAATCACTTGAAACGCAGATGACTGCAGGACCGTTTATGAAGAAACAGCTGTTTTTTGAATGCCTCATTTTTAATGTCCGCACACACCGAACAAGAGCCTCAGTGTGATCATGATTGCCTTAACTGTATGTTTAGACTTATATGATATTATTAAAGACTAATTACTTGTATTTTTTAACTAATTAACCTGATTTAAAGCAGTTAATTAAAGAATCTTTTCCTTGAATCATCTGTGTTTATGTGTGATTCTTAAACAGGTAAAGGAAAAAGAACCGTCCAGATGTTTAGTGTGACCGATGTCTGGGAGTCAGCGAGTGAGCGGGAGTCAGTCAGCGAGTCAGCGAGAGAGTCATTGAATGAGAGTGAATGGTGCTACATAGAACCCTTTCTGAAAAGGTTCTACATAGGCCCACGTTCATGGTTTTTACAGAACTCCAAAAAGGGTTCTTTTATCGTTACAGGCTTGACATCGTGACAGTAGCAGAACCCTTTTCAAAAAGGTTCTATATAGAACCATCTACAGCACATTCTTCATCAGTCTGAAGAACCATTTCACCATGCAAAGAACCCTTTAATCATGCAAAGGGTTCTTCGAGTGCTCATGGTGCTATGTAGAACCATTTTCTTTACTAAAGAACCCTTGAAGAACCATCTTTTTAAGACGGTACATGTTCTTCTTGTGTCAAATTTCCTCAGATTTAATTTCCTGATTGTTTTCCATTATAATAAATAATAATACAATCATTCATATAATAATGAAACACTTTGATGAATAATATCAAAGCAGTCCTCTGTAGACGGGGTGTGTGGCTTCAGCCATTCCTTTGTAGTTGCTTTTCTTGCTGCTACAAATATAGAAGTTTTCCAAATATTTAGTTTTAATATTTAACTAAGGTGTTTTAATCAGCTTTGAGCCAAAAGAGTCTCAGTCAGAGCAGTTCTGAGAAGAAAACTGCCAAATCATCATTTAGACAAAAGCTGCTCTACAGACTGAAGATCATGACGCTGAGAGTTGAAGATAAACCGGTTATTCTCACAATATTTGGATGGTTGGATACACAGTGATGCCTGTATGATCAAAATGATTAATACTGATATTAGATTGATTTTTAGTAATATTTCCCAATTTAAGTGACCAAAACCGGTAAGATTTGTAAGTAGAGCGTTTTAGATTTGATTCTTGACTAAGTTTGTAATTCTCACTGCTGTTTGTAATTCTAGATAAAAACTCTAATTCTAGATTTCTTAGCTGCTTTATGGTGGTATTAAATTAATATTAAACAGATTTTTAGTAATATTTCTCAATTTAAGCGACCAAAAACGTTTTTTTCAAAGATAAGTCTGTAAATAACTTCTTTCACAGCCTGCATCGTGCTGTCAGAGTATTTTAAAGTTAGTTATTATATTTTTGTGTATATTGTGAAAGATAATTTTTTGCAATTTTATCTCATAGACGGGCTGTGGGGCTTTTATTTTCACTTTTTGTTATTTTTGTTCACTTCCTCAGGGTTTATTAGAGAAAGATTAAAGAAGCAGGTAAAGTAATGCAAACAGATTTTTTTATAATGAAAAAATAAAAAATGATGAATATCAGTAATGAGACACCCTGGTGGTGAGAATTGGAGTAAAAATGCTGTAAAAACTTTAAAACTGAAAATTTGGCTCTTCAGACGTTTTGCTGTGCCATACAGAGCAGCAGCTGATCTACTCAGTGACATGAATACTGTTCATCTGCGTGATTATGACAAAATTTGGACATTTTTTAGTGAAAATTACCCAAATATTGTTCTTGGTTTTGTAAGAATGATGCAAAAATGAAAACGAAAACCCAAGATTTTGCTGAAAATGGTCATTTTGTCCCCAAACGTTTGATGGACAGTGTAAATGTCGCAGGACTGTGCTGTGGCCTGCGGTCAGATTATGTGGATCTCTTCAGAAACCCTGAGTGACCTCTCCTTCCTGAGTGAGTGATCAATCATCTTCTGTCTCAATCCCGTCATCGTTATGGGGGAAGACCCTGGTCACCTGATAGCGACCTTTGACCCTGAGAGGGCTGTTTTAGCTTGATTTTGAAGTGCACTCCTGAGTGTGGACGTCATCAGTTTGTGGTTTTCTCTGCACAAAGATGGCTCTGTTGTTCTCCGGGGGTCCTCTGCTGGGGTCCAGTCTGTTGGACTGTGTTTTAGAAGGTAGGCCACAAAGCTTGACAGTTAAACCGGCCTCATTCAGAGCAGCTCAGCACAGCCAGCTCAGCACAGCTGCTCTGGAGTTTCTATGAAAACTCGATGCTAAAGTGAGAATAAATGCTTGAAGCAAATCCTTTTTAGGATAGAATCTAGTTTTGGAGTTTAAATATTATTATTGTAATATGAAAGCCTCACTGCAGTGATAAGGACATTAATGTAATAACATTTTATTCCAGGTTAATTTTTTTTACCATTTCTATTAGATCATAGAGCTTGAAATGCAAAAAAGAAATGAAAAATTATGAGTTATGAGATATGAGAATATATCAAATATATCAGTACTGATACAAAAAAATTAATGTTGTATTAAAAAGTTATGCATATATTTCTGTTAAATATGTTTATTTTTTTCCAATGTGTTAAACTCAGCAAAGAAATGTAAATTGTTCACTAAAATTAGCAGAAAAATGTTATATTTGAGTGTGTGGTCGAGGATGTATTAACTTATTTTCACTTAGAAAATTAACAAATTAAAATAGAATTAATTCAGATAGAAATATATATTTTTAGATTATAGTATGATTTTAAAAATACGTATGTGTTTATCTATAATCTGCAATATATATATATATATATATATATATATATATATATATATATACACACATATCACTGGTGTTGGAACAAAACCTTGTATCTCCAAAATGGTAACTTTACAGTAGAAGGAAAAAACATACTTTACATTTAATGTAAGTCAATGGAACCAGACTTTTTGTCCAAGTAATTTTGAGCTGTTTCTTTAGTCCATTCATCATGAAATTTACACACAATGTAAAGGACAACAGGCATTTTCAAATTATGTCAAAAATTGAAAAACAATAAAAATGGAGATACAAGGTTTTGCTCCGAGAGCAATGATATATATGAGTACAGTGTATGTATATGTATATGTATATGTGTATGTATATGTGTATTAGGCTTGTCACGATCATTACAGCTTAACTAATGATTATCACAAAAATAATTGTGATTAACAATTGAATCTTCATTCTTCTATGCCACTATTACAGTATACGCTTGGTCAGAATGTAATATTGCACATTCCTTATTATGAAGAGCACTTTGGAGTATAAATTTAATGCGTACGTCTTTGAGTTCATTGAAAATTATTCCAATATCGCTGTTGTTGGAACAAAACCTCGTATCTCCAAAATGGTAACTTTACAGGAGAAAGAAAAAACCTACTTTACTTTTAATGTAAGTCAATGGAACCAGACTTTTTTCCAAGTCATTTTGAGCCGTTTCATTTGGTCCATTCATCATGACATTTACACACAATAAATAGGACCATGAGTACTTTTAATCTATGGCAAAAACTGAGAAACGACAAAAATGGAGATATGAGGTTTTCTCCCGACAACAGCGACATATTAGAATATAATGAAAATCAATGATGCGCAGGGCTGCTGATCCTTTACTGACCAGGTAGGTTCCACTAGCGCTCTGCTCATCAAACTGGTCAAAGTACATTAGCATTGCTAAAAACAGTAGCAGCCATCTTGAAGCCATCTCGGTCCAGACTGTTGTCCATTTTTTTACGTCAGACAGTGTCAGAAACTACATAACCAAGCCTATTAGAGATACTGAACACCTCCACACGGTCTGAAGAGAGTGAGTGATGAGTTAGGCTGAAGGTTAAAGGGGAATTCCACTGAAAATTCAGTATAGGTTAAAGATTAAGACGTAAACAAAGTCTTTAAGAGTGGTTTGGTGTGAAATGGTTCACTTCTTTACAGTGGTGATGTCCAAAAAAAGCAAATCTAGCCACTGTTACTGTACAAATTCAAGCCATTAACCTATAGGAGCTTTTATGTGTAATGTTGATGATGGTGATTATATATGGCGATTATATTGCCTTACGACACCCTGAGTTGATTTTAAAAATATGTTTAAGGCCAAAAACCTTCTTGTAACTATTGACAACAGTGTCTCAGTCATCAGGCAGAGAATTCATAACCATTCCATGTAGTAACTTTCTATGAGGGAGCTTTTAGAGGTGGACGTCTGGTTCCTATCACCACCACTGTGAACAGTTCTAACTCGGTCAGTTTCACACCAAACCACTCTGAACGACTCTGTTTACATCTCAACCATTTAATTATGCAGGCATTTTTAAAAATCAGAGGGATTCCCTTTTAACACCATGCTAATCGGTGGGGTATAAGCTCCCACTGCTTGTTAGCTACATTAGCCTCGTAGCTCCAGTCCAAAAACTAAAGAAGAAAACATTGCACCTCCCGTTCTGCTTGATCTTTATCTACCTGATGGTGTGACTGTGAAATCTAACCACTGTGTGAAATGATTGTGGTCACCTCAAATAACTGCGGTAAGGCGATTATGAAGTCAGTGTTGGTGTCTGGATATTAGCTGGCTTTTATATTAAAATGAAAATAGATTAATCATCCATCCCTAAAGTAAAGGCTTTCTAGCTGAAGCCCTACATGAGAGCCTGAGATCCAGATTGCTTTTTATTAAAAATTCATCTCTGGAGTGAAGTTAAACATCCTCTCACTGCTGCTTTAGTGTTTGTGATGCTGTACTGATGTGTAGTTCTTTATAATAGCTGTGAAACTGTGTTGAAATCAGGCTTGGTGGGCGCCTGTGGCGTCTCAGTGCTGTGTAACCTGATGAGAGTGGATCTCTTTCTACAATCATACAGGTGAGAGCAAAACGCTGACCCATGTCTGACCTAATGTAGCTACTGTATATTAATGAGTATATGTTTATTAGAAAGGCATCACAGGGTGGCAAGATGATATATTTATACACCGATCAGGCGTAACATTATGACCACCTCCTTGTTTCTACGCTCATTGTCCATTTTATCAGCTCCACTTACTATATAGGTGCACTTTGTAGTTCTACAGTTACAGACTGTAGTCCATCTGTTTCTCTGATACTTTGTTAGCCCCCTTATACCCTGTTCTTCAGTGGTCAGGACCCCCATGGACCCTCACAGAGCAGGTACTATTTGGGTGGTGGGTCATTCTCAGCACTGCAGTAACACTGACGTGGTGGTGGTGTGTTAGTGTGTGTTGTGCTGGTCTGAGTGGATCAGACACAGCAGTGCTGCTGGAGTATTTAAACACTGTGTCCACTCACTGTCCACTCTATAAGACACTCCTACCTTGTCAGTCCACCTTGTAGATGTAAAGTCAGAGACGATAGCTCATCTGCTGCTGCACAGTTTGTGTTGGTCATCCTCTAGTCCTTCATCCGTGGTCACAGGACGCTGCCCACAGGACACTGTTGGCTGGATATTTTTGGTTGGTGGACTATTCTCAGTCCAGCAGCGACACTGAGGTGTTAAAAAACTCCAGCAGCACTGCTGTGTCTGATCCACTCAGACCAGCACAACACACACTAACACACCACCACCACGTCAGTGTTACTGCAGTGCTGAGAATGATCCACCACCCAAATAGTACCTGCTCTGTGAGGGTCCATGGGGGTCCTGGCCACTGAAGAACAGGGTAACAAATTATGCAGAGAAACAGATGGACTACAGTCTGTAACTGTAGAACTACAGAGTGAAACTATACGGTCAGTGGAGCTGATAAAAATGGACAATGAGTGTAGAAACAAGGAGGTGGTCTTAATGTTATGGCTGATCAGTGTATATTATTGTATATGTATTAATTATAAAGGCATTGCAGGCTGCTAACATCATATATTTATAGTTTCAATCTGTACCTCAAACCACTTCCTGTATTACACATGTGCTATTACTGGATATACTTTACATAATACAAAGGTATACATAAACCTATACAATACTTATTACTATCTAATTACACTGGTGTTACATACTACTCTGTATAACGTGCTACACTATATAATATGTCTAAAAACTGAACTGTGCTGTTACTGAATGTCTCCTGTGCAGCAAGTGTCCACAGAACCCCAGCATTACTACGAATGTATCACTGTCGAAGCGTCCGGCTGTGGGGCAACTGGTCAGGGTTTTCCGTTTCTGCCTGCTGACCACCCTCCTCACAGTGGTGGGGTATAGACTGGCCATCCTAGTAGTGTTAGAGTTCTCCCTCAGAGCACTCCTCAGAACTGTTACTGCAGGACAGGTGAGGCTGCATCACTGACCACTTGATGGGCAACCGCAGTACAGGTCCTCTACAGTTAAGGCCACAGTGCAATATTAGCCCACTTACGTGCCCCAACACAGTATTAACCCCAGTGCAGCATTAGCCCCAGCACAAAATTAACCCTAATGTAATATTACGTAATATTGCCCCAGTGCAATACTAGCCTCACTTAAATTATCCTTACTGTAATATTAACCCCAATTCAGTATTAGCCCCAGTGCTATATTAGCTCTATTGCAGTACTGGCCTCCATGCAATATTAGCCCCAGTTTAGTATTAGCCCCAAAGCAACAGTAAGCGCATTGTTAGCCGTAGTGTAATATTAGCTTCAATGCTTTAATAGGCTAAAGCAGTATTAGCTCCCAGTGCAGTATTAGCCCCAATGCAACATTAACCCCTAGTCCATTATTAGCCACAGTGCACTAATACTAGCTCTAATACTTTTTTAACCCCAAAGTAGCATTAGCTCCAATGCAATATTAGACCCAGTGCAATATTAGCCTAACTTTAAAATTAGCCTTACTGTAATACTAACCCAAATTCAATATTTGCCCCTGTGCAGTATTACCCTCAGTTTAGTATTAGCCCCAATGCAACATTAACCTTAGCGCATTGTTAGCCGTAGTGTAATATTAGCTTCAATGCTTTATTAGCCTGAAAGCAGCATTAGCCCCAGTGCAGTATTAGCCCCAATGCAACATTAACCCTAGTCCATTATCAGCTGCAGTGTAATATTAACTCTAATGCTTTTTTAGCCCCAAAGTAACATCAGCTCCAATGAAAAATTAGACCCAGTGCAAAATTAGCCTAACTTTAAAATTAGCCTTACTGTAATATTAACCCCAATTCAGTATTTGCCCCAGAGCAGTTTTACCCTCACTACAGCAGCCTTACTGCAATAAGACCAATTTCATGTTCTCTAGGCCCACTGCAACGTCACTCACTGCAAAACTTCAATACTTCATATATACTCATGTTTTATTTATGCCATTTATTCAACTGACAGGCGGCCTGCACATCACTGCTTAGTTTAACTCTCTCTCTCTCTCTCTCTCTCTCTCTCTCTCTCTCTCTCTTTCTCTCTCTCTCTCTCTCTCTCTCTCTCTCTCTCTCACAGTCCAGCCCTTCCCATCTTCTCCTGGTCCAGAGTCAGTTCTCTTTGGGCTGTTCCCTGAGCTGCACTCTGCACTTCCTCCAGGAGGGGGCGCTGCGCCGGACGCTCTGCCTGTTCCTGGCCGCAGGGCTGAGTTCCCTGTTGGCCTACCTGTCTCAGCGCGTGGAGAGCCACATGCTGGAGTTTTACCCCACACACTCACGCTGTGAGCAGCAGGGCTGTGGGGTGTGTGTGTCTCTCTCCTCCCCGCAGGTCTCTCTGCTCACTGGCCTGAGCCGAGCTGTGGGCGCGGCCTTCGTCCTCGGTGTCGTGACCTCTCTGCATGCCCTCAACCAGCACTACATCACTGAGGTGGAGAGCGTGAGGACCTGGATCCCTCTGCTGCTCTGCTACACACTGCTGCTAGTCTACATCCAGGGTGAGAGAGAGAGCGAGAGACACAGAGACACAGAGACTCAGAGAGAGAGAGAGAGAGAGAGAGCACATTTAAAGTGATCGTCAATCAGCCAAGACGTGTTTGGTGTCTGAAGTTTAGCTTCTTTAGTTTTAGCGCTGGAGCTACGAGGCTAATGTAGCTAACAAGTAATGGAAGCTCTTGTAGAAATTAGCATGGTGCTAACTGCAGGCCTGAATCATCACACACTCACCCTAAACCCCGTGGCCCAAACACAAGGCCCGCGGACCACGTCAGGTCTGTGGCACAATCCTATCCGGCCTGCAAAATTATTTTAATATTCTATTAAAATAAGTCTGTTTCACAATGCACTGCACTACAATACCCAGCATGCACTCCAACGTAATGCGCACTCCAACCCTCCTTCCCCAACAATCTAAGGGAAAGCGGTTATACCACAAAAAGAAAAGATGTAGTTCAAGCAAGTAGGCGAAAAGTATAGCTTATATTGTGCTCTTGCAGTTTTTGCATATTTTGAATAAACAGTGGTCAGTCAGGGTCATAGCAAAATGTTTATTAAATGGAAAAAAACATAGGTTCTCTGGCCCACGGATTTGATGAGATTTTTTAATATGGCCCTTTTAGTGGTCGAGTTTGAACCCCCTGCCCTAAAGTGGGCAAAGGTGTTCAGTGTCTCTAATAGGCTTGATGATGTGGTTTCTGACTCTGTCTGACTCACTGTTATCCATAAACATGAACTAAAGTATGTTAGCATAGCTAAACACAGTTGGAGCCACAGTTTGACTGTACTTTTGTTCATTTATCTCGATTCAATTTTGGAAAAATCATCTACGTTGATTATATATATAAAAATAGACTAAACTACAGACAAAATTCAGGCTTCAAGATGGCTGATATATGAGTTAAACCAGCGTCAGTAGAACCTGAATTCATGATATTTAAAAAAAAATGCGTGCAAAATTTTGTGTTCTTGAAAATTTTCATTGCAAATTTTAGATATTTGAATGAGTCTGAATTTACCTTTTTGAAATTCAGGTCTTGAAAAATTCAGGTTATGATTTCAGGTTCAGGACACTGATTTAACTGCATGCTGCTGCCCATTTTGTTTACTTGTGCTACTTTTCTCCATTTTTTACAGGGAAAGTTGCCACATATAGCTTCTCCAAGCTTTCATAGACGTTTTTGAGAGTCACTCGTCATGAGCATTCAGCCCTGAGCGCCAATCTCTGATTCAATCTGACTGAATCGTTAAAATAATGAGTCATCATCTTAACCACACACACGTAATCAGGTGATAAGCCCACTCAGACTGTTAGGTAACCGAGCCCACACCCTTACAGCTGATAAGTCGAAGGGCAAAGTGTGAATAAAGGAGGTCGAGGCCAGAATTTTGCTGCTGTGAAGCTGAGTGGCTTCACCTGCCTCGGCAATTCAAGCTGATTTAACACTTTAAGCTTCCACTGTATTTGATATTTGCTGAAATAGAAACTGCCCTGTTCTGTGATTCCTTTAAGCGGATGCTGATCTGGTCTGGTAGTAGTAAATCACGCCACGTGGACTTGCAGAGTGATCTTCAAGAGTCTTGTTTTGATTTATTCCTAGACAGTTCATTGATCTGGATGACTTTTATTGGTCTAAAGATTACCTGACTCCACCTTCCAGGATATGCATATCAGAATATCAGTGTTATGACCTGTAAATCAGAGTAACTGGTATAATAGTGAAGGCATTTCATCTCTTGAATGAGCAGCAAAACACCTTTAATATTTCACCACAGGTTCATGAGCTTCAGCTGGAGTGCTTTAACAAAGTTAGCCTAGCGCTCAGAGTGAAACCGCTTGAGGTACCAGAAGTCCAGCCACCTTGACTGGAGTAGTGTTAGCTTAGCTTAGTTAGCTCAGCACTGAGTGGTGAAGCACCTTTCAGATACACCATAAATCCAGACACTTTGACTGGAGTAGACTGTACAGTCTACGGACGTAGCGTTAGCTTAGCTTGTATTTAGCTTAGTAGCACTGCCCAGATAGCAGCATATATCGGCCCACTGGCTTGATCAGGTGGCACCTGTTGACTGTTTGCCACTGCTGGACCTTCATCGGACCACCCAGATTACTGTCCTGCACACAAAGTCTAACTAGTTCTTGGAAAATAAACTACTGAGAGAAGAAAATAAATGACTAGGCCTGATATAAACAATTTAGTTGAAAAAGTTGTGCTAGACTAGTTACAGCTGTATAACCGGCTTTATTTCTGATATTACTGTTAAAATTATTCACTAAACTGATTTACAAAGGATAACGAAAGACAGAAATGAAGGATAAATAAGTAAACATGACTGTGAGAGGAAAACGAGCAATGAAAAGTGGCATTTTTGTCTAAAACTCGGCTTAAACTCGGTGGGCCGCCCGGAAAACTACCCAGATAGCAAGAGGACAGTGGGCCACTGTTGGCCCGATGACACCAAAGCAGGCGGCCCACTGTCCTCTTACTATCAGGGTACAAAAGATATGAAGATTAAACCACAAGTTCAGAAGTCTTGGCTGGACTAGCGTTAGCTTAGTAGCGCTGAGGTGTGAAACGTCTTTCATGTGTAATGGCTTTAGCCTCTGAAACACCTTCTGATTTTTGATTACATCACTGCGCACCAGTGGGCGGGGCAAAACAACACTGATAGAAGGAAAATGTGTTTTGATTTCAGAAGTCTGGTATTCTTGAATGTAGTACACTGAGAAAAATGACATCTTAGCAAGAGAAAACATCTTAAATGTAGTCAAAATATCTAATAGTTCTTATTATGGGATTCTTGTTCTAAGAATATTGTAAGATTATTTAACTTATTTCTTGACATTTTGTACCTGTTTTAAGTCATTTTATCTACATCGGCAGATCATTTTACTCATTTTACCAGCATTATTTTTTGAAATAAGCAAAATGACCTTCATTATTTCTCAGAACAAGTAAAATGATCTGGCAATGGAACAAGACGCTTTCATAAGATAAACGTCCTTAAAAGACGTGAAACATGTCTAACACAGGTGGAGTAATCTTAAAATATTCTTAATTCAGTCTCGTAATGAGAGATATTAGATATATTGGCTAAATTTAAGATATTTTCACTTGTGAAGATGCAGCCTTTGATGTAGCTCAATTAGTTTAGCAGCACTGAGCTGTAAAACATCTTTAATATTTGCCTTAATTTACTATTACTATTTCTCTCTCTCTCTCTCTCTCTCTCTCTCTCTCTCTCTCTCCTCTCACTCTCTCTCAGACGGTCAGGCTCGCAGGCCCGCTGCTGAAGCTTTGTTGCGCTCTGCTCTGCTGCGTTTGGGGGCGCTGTTGGTCCTCCTGCTCAGTCTGGGTTTCTGGGTGGACATTCTGCACCTCCTGCTGGTTCTGCTGGGGGAGCTGCTGTGTCTCACACACACACAGGACCTCCTGCACAAACACACTCCCATCACGGTAATAAACTACAGCGGGAGAACCCAAAACAATCCCTGAACCACTGTAACGCACCAAAGTACCATCAGCACCTGAACAAGAACCTGCTTAACTTTCTTAATCTTACGTTAAAAAACATGGTTTTTTCAAGGCTTCTTTAGTAAAAGGAACGGTTCTGTTTAGAACCATGGGCTCTATATAGAACCACTTCATGCATAAATGGTTCCCTGCATGGTGAAATGGTTCTTCAGAACGTATAGAACCATTTTCAAAAAGGTTCTGTATAGGAGTGCATACAACACATTCTCTCCATCAGTCTGAAGAACCATTTCACCACGCAGAGAACCTTTTAAGCATGAAGTGGTTCTATGTAGTACTCCTGGTTCTAAATAGAACCATTCTCTTCACTAAAGAACCCTTAAAGAAGCATCTTTTTAGCAGTGTAATCTTAAGCACGAGTGTGTATGTTTGGGGACGTATTGAGTCCGAATGATACGAGATGAAAAAAGAGAATTCTCAAACAAGTTCTAGATTAGGCGTTCTCCAGTCCATTCATGAGCCTTCACTGTTCTACAAGTGTTGTTCAGAAAAGTTTGGACATTCAGACTGATGTTTTGGCAGATCCCTCCACCAGAAGCTAATTTTAATTTTTTTCACGTCAATAAATCATATTTTCGAGCCATAAAAAATCTCACCTCAGGAAGCGTAATTCATTTTTAAAAATAACTGTCTGTCCATTTTCTGCGACAGGGTGGACGTTACACTCAATAGAACCTCTAAAAGATGAAAAAACTACAAATTATCAACATTGAGCAAAAGCGGAACGTGCCAGCGTTTCAGTTTGGCTTCTCTGAAGACTCAGTCCTCATCATATCACTTAATTTGATAGTATTATTATTATTATCATTATTATTATTATTACACGTAAATACTTTGCTAGTAATAAAGACAGAGCTAAATTTCTTTAAATTTCTTTTTAAATCAATATAATATTTATATATACAATGGCAGAAGTTTAATGTTAAAATGACTTTTATTTTGTAATATTTGGGCTGGAACTTCAATGGCTTTCTATACAGACATGTAAACATGCCTATATTACTTAAATGAATAGATACATACACACATAAACAAACAAACAAATCATTTTTAAAGCTTGAAAGAGACTTATTATCAGATTTTGGTCCCTTATGCATGGCATGAAATGTTGTGGACTCACATTGTGGTGGGGAGGGGGGTTAAATTTGACCTTTCACTAAAACTATCACTTCAAACTGTTGCTGACTCTTGTTTATTTTGCAGACGGAGGAGGAGAAAACCGACAAATCTTCATAAACTCACAGTGACGCTGCCGTATTATTGTTCCAAGGCAGAAAAGAGTTGTTCTGATCTTCTACCTCGCAGCGCAGCACCGTCTGAGACCTCAGCAGCTTTAGGTCAGACTCTCAGAGTCAGAGTCCCACAACCACTTTATGCATTTCATGCTTCTGAATGCAGTTCTAAGGCCAGACTTGGATCCTAGATCAGAACTCTTACTTTGTACTGTGGTTAATTCCACTTCTGTTGTTTTAAAGGTCCTGTCTTATGGCAAAAACCTATTTTTTAGTAAATAAATGTTTTTGCTTTATTACATAAACATTGTTCAAGTTTCAAACCGTACCCTTCACTCCTCAGTCCTTACTGACCATATATGGAAACTAATCTGTAATAGCTTCCTGGTTTGAACTGTGATGTCACAACCATGAACACCTTTGTATATGACCGCCATTCATTCTTCAGTAGTTTAGCCCCACCCACTCCATTTGAAGTGATGGAGCGTTGTTCAGATACATAGAGTCTGTAGCTGAGTGATTGGAGTTAAAGGTACTTTGTGACCAAAGCAAAATACAAGCCAATCAGAACAGGGCTAATTTACATGTATCTGTCTCAAAGGCAGCCTGTTTAAAGATACGTTAAAAATCGGCATGTAAAAATAAATGATGGCTGTTTTTGGCACATAAAGCCCCACTTTTACACTTTAACATCTCATATGTCATGTATAACTTCAAGGGGAATTCCACCCATTTTTCAAAATTTCTGAACAATTCAGTGTGTGAGATATAAACAGAGTGATTCAGAGTGGTTTGGTGTGAAATGGTTCAGATGTCTTTACAGTGGTGGTGATAGGAACCAGGGGTCGCCATGACTACAACACAGATATAGACATTTTATTTACTATCCAGAACCACCAGTGAACCTACACGAGTCTTCTGAGTCTATATGGAATGTTGATGATGGAAAATAGTGGAAAATCTGAAATAATAAGTTTTCTTTAGGGACTATTTTGCCTCACAGCGCCCTGCATGTATCCCTCCACCATGAATGGAGTTTAAGTTCTCAAAACTATCATAAAACAGTGTCTCAGTCATCAGGCAGTGAATTCATCACCATTTCATGTAGGAACTTTCTGTGAGGGAGCTTTTAGAGGTGGACGTCTGGTTCCTATCACCACCACTGTGAACAGTTCTGACTCAGTAAGTTTATCTAGAACAGAGCGTTTCACACCAAACCACTCTGAACGACTCTGTTTACATCTTAACCACTTAATTATGCAGAATTTTGAAAAATAAGTGGAGTTCCCCTTTAATGTGCTCTTTTTCATTTTTAATGTGTCTGTGTTTTGCACCCATTATCTTTAATTGCATTTTATTGTTTGTCATATTGATCACTGCTTATTGTTGACTTACAAAGCACATTGTGCTGTACCAAGCCCAAACACCACCAGTCCTGCTGTGTGGCAGTAAAGAATAGTAAAGAGGACTGGATTAACAGCTGGTCTGCCTGTGTGGCCAACAGGGGGAGCCAGTGAGTGCATTGATGACTCAGAGACCCCACTCTTAGCACCATCAGCATTTGCTCTACACACAGAGGCCTTGGTTTCCACTCACCCTCCTAATGAAGCAGCTCAGCCAGGACATTATTTTAGCTACGAGGCTAATATAGCTAACAAGTAGTGAAGTTAATTGGTGTCTACAAGCTTCCTTTACTTGTCAGCTAGTATTGTTGTCCTTGTCCCTCAGCGGTGCAACCAACTTCCCCCTGGACTCTGCACTGCGCTCACTCAGTGCCTTCCGCTGGGGTCTGAAGACTCACCTCTTCAGACTTTTCACACTTACCGAGTCAGAACTGTTCACAGTGGTGGTGATAGGAACCAGACGTCCACCTCTAAAAGCTCCCTCACAGAAAGTTCCTACATGAAATGGTGATGAATTCACTGCCTGATGACCGAGACACTGTTTTATGATAGTTTTGAGAACTTAAACTCCATTCATGGTGGAGGGATACATGCAGGGCGCTGTGAGGCAAAATAGTCCCCAAAGAAAACTTATTATTTCAGGTTTTCCACTATTTTCCATCATCAACATTCCATATAGACTCAGAAGACTCGTGTAGGTTCACTGGTGGTTCTGGATAGTAAATAAAATGTCTATATCTGTGTTGTAGTCATGGCGACCCCTGGTTCCCATCACCACCACTGTAAAGACATCTGAACCATTTCACACCAAACCACCCTGAATCTCTCTGTTTACACCTCACACACTGAATTATGGTGGAATTTTGAAAAATTGCTTTTACTGTATGATGGGAAACCTGTGATAAACAGTTCTTTAGGAACCTTTTAAAAACTATACATGTACATACCAATAAAAAGGGTTCTGCTATAAAGAACCCTTTTCTCTAAGAGTGTTTAAAGGAATGGTTTGGCAAAAGATCTAATTTACCCCATTGTCCTCTTACCCCAGATGTACAGTGGTCAATCTGCCGACACATGTTTGGAATCCAAGTTTTGCTTCCTGAGTTTAGAACTGGAGCTATGAGGGTAACATTGCTAATGAACTCTGGAATTCAGTTGCCACCCAAACAGCCCAAACCGTTTCTGTAAAAATGTGTCACCAAAAGCTGCTCAAACAGCATCCACACTACAAAAAATGGTGTCTTTTCTAGTGAAAAGATCTTAAATCCAGTTGACATATCTCATATTTCCCATTTCCAGATGTTTGTGCACTTATTATAAGATTACTTACCTCATTTCTAGACATTTTTACTTGTTTTAGGTTATTTTATCAAGTAAAATGATCTCACTGTACTGGCAGATAATGTTGCTGGTTTCAAGCACATTTCTTACAACAAGCAAAATGATCTGCCAACATAGTGAGATAATAAAATAACAATAAAATTACTCAAAACAAGCAAAAATGTCTAGAAAAGAGTTAAATAATCTTAAATGAAGCTTATGACCATCTCAACAGGAGAAATATTAGATTTATTGACTACATTTAGGATCATTTTACTTGACGAGACCATTTTTTGCAGTGCAGCTCTTCATTACGGTGGCACGGCCTTGTTAATGCAGCATGACTTCCTGTGAACTATTCAAAATAACAAAACTGAAGGAAGCCACTTTAAAAAAAACAGCATCTGTATTCACAAACCGCCTCAGCAGGGCTGATCTGGAGTCAGTATTTTTGGCACTGACAGTCATATATATGGAGGAATCTGATCCAAGATCAGTCCTGCTCTGTAAATACCAGCACTGGTGTTGTCTAATCTGGCTGCTCGTAGCAGTTTTGTTCATTTTTATAGTGCACAGTGAGTCTTACTGTGTTCTTAATCACAACTACAGGTCTGTGCAACCTTAATGACGACCTGGATGTGGTCTGAGCTGACTGAGACAAGTTTGGGTGATGTATTTTTACAGAAACAGTTTGGGTGACTATTGAGTTCTGCTGTTTGTTACTAACGTTAGCCTCGTCGCTCCAGTTCTGTACTGAAAAAACAGGGCTACGTTCACATTCCAAGCCTCATTGCTGAAATCTGATTTTTTGCTCAAATCCGATCTCTCTGACTCAATGGTTCACACTCGTTTAGGTAAGTGACTCAAATCTGTCATTAATGTGACGAACCAGCCTGAAATGACCCTCATGAGCTCATCCTACTCAGTAACGTCACGTGAATGAATCACGTTCATCATCAGCACAAACTAACGAGCAGAACGAGCTTCGCTGAGAAGATCATTAACT